AAATTGATTCAATAGAATTCATGCATATGGTTTGGTTGGAATACAATTTACAAGTGACAAATTAAAATTATAATTTGAGTTCAAAATATAGTCAATTGGACCATCGAGAATTCAAATTACAAAGGCCTTTATCATTTTTCATACCAGTATCATTTCAAGATTAAGGTTGCAAAACTAGAAAATTTGTGAATTTGGTTTGTTTGGAATTTGAAACTTACGTCTTGATTCATGAAAAGTTACGAGCATGCCATATTTCAAAACTCACTCCAGTTCACTTAACTCATCATGCCATCATGCCAAAGTCAAAAGGAAAAGTAATTGGAAAGGATCACTTGAGATGTGTAAAGTTTCTTTGTAAAGGACAAGATTTATTCAAGATGAGATTAAAGGAAAAAGACTAGGCATTACAAAATCAATACTTGATCCAAGATTGCAAGATGAAGGAATATTGGATGTCTAAATTGAAGAATTGAAGTAAACTTTGAGATTCAAACTAAAAGAAAAAGTCAAGTTTCTTTTTCTTGGAATTACTTCATTGATTGAAAGACAAATTCAAAATTCACTATAAAGTTACACCAAAAATTGAATTCATAAAATATAAACCTATTCCATTCTTCATCAAATTCATGCAATTTCATCTTCACTTTGCTTCATCCTTTCAACCAAGTTGAACTTTAATACTTCATCCATAATCTCAACCTTGCTTAAAAACAATTGCTCCATCAAAAGCTGATTATTTCAGCCCTGCAATCAACAAGAAGGCCAGTGGCATCACATCCTAACAGAAATAACTAACTGCAACAGGTTCCTAACTAACTCATAACAGAAATTCAGGGGGGAAACTCCCTAATCAAAATAAAATTATTAACTCATGAAAAAGGGAACTATAAAAGCAGAAAGTTAAATCCAAAATCAGAGAAAGAGGTTCGGGCAAAAAAATCAGGAAATCAAATTATTAGAGGTAGAAAAAAACTTTGCAAGATAAACTCGGATTCAATCTCGACCCTCCATTGGTGGTAACCAACTTTCAATCCAAAGGCTTAGATTTACAGATTTGTAACTAACTTTCATAGTCTTAACCGACTATATAACATGACTCTAACATAATTTAGTAGGAGGATTCATTTTCACGATTCACAGGAAAAATAAAAAAAATACTCACCTCTGAGATTCTCTCATCTTTTTTTATTCTTTCTGAATTTTAAACTGCCTTCATCATCTTGATCGTTTATGCAACTTTATCACCGTAATTACCTTCATCAATAACTTGCAATCTCCAACAATCATCATCATATCTTCACAAAATCTCGGCAATTTCAACACAGAACCAAAGCTTCGCATCATCATCAACGAGCCTTCAATCCTCTTCAAGCTTCATCTTCAAGAATCTTCACTTTCACCTTTAATCTTCATCGTGTTTCATCATCTGCTTCAACATCGCAACATCATCAACGGGAATACAATTCAGAAGAAATGGAAGCAAATAGTAGACAAGCAAGGGGAGTTATATGTATCTGAATTTGTTTCCGGTTCTATTATTAGTGTCGTTGTCGGAGCGTCTCCGATAGGTAAATCACTTTTCCACTGTCTCCAATATTCTCTCCCTTGATCTTGCTGGCATGATGTGAATTTCATTTGTGTGAATGAAATCCGAGATCTGAAGTTTATTTAGCGGTCTCTCACAACGGCGAGGCCGCGATGTAGTCGCCGTGAAGACTGACGAATCAATATTGAGATGAAGACGGAGCTTTGAAGAAGATCAGAGACGAATGTTTTGGAATCCGAATGGTGAATGAGATGGAGATGAAATCGAAGCAGAGACAGAGTGATGATCACCAGGCGGTGATGAACAGAATTCGACGGAGGCGCTAAGAGATCGGAAAAGAAAGACCAAAGGTTATGGCCGCCGCGATTTGAAAGTGAGAAGAGGTCATTTGAGTTCTTTTCAATGAATCTGAGACATTACTTTTCTTGAACCCTATCCAAAAGCCAAATACATTGTTCCATGTTTGATTAATTTTCTTTTATTTCATTATATCAATTCAATAAAAAAATAGGAGATAAAAAAGAAACTGGTGATGATAGGAGTGGGCTGGACCGAGTCACTCCACCCTTAGGCGCGTCACAATATTTTTTGAAAGCTCTAAAACTTGATTTGAAAAAAAACTGTCTTAGTGGACCTTGGTGAATGGGCCTAGCGCCCTGTTTCTACCGCACCCCTGGATCAGTTTTCCACACCCCCTGATTTTTCTAATTTCTTGTTTTGATTTAGTTTTTTTTTGTTTACATTTTCCTACAACTTTATTAATGAAAAAAATAGAGATGATAAAGTTATAAAAATCAATAAAAAATTGTTTTATTTTTTTATTTTGATTTTAGGAATTAACTCATGATTACTCGATTACTTGAGATTTATGATTCACCTTTGATTATCGAGATAAGAGTCTTATGCAGGATTATCGTGTAATATATGGATATGCTTGAGTTTTTTATTGTGATTTATTTTCACATCGATGATGTCTCGACACTTATTTCGAGCATTCGATCTATGACTATTTGTTTGTTGATAATAGCTCTCACGAAGTATTTCAGGTTTCTTTGCATTGGTTGCGCTTTTTGTGGACATTATTGTTCGTTTGGTATTATGATGCTTCCAATTTATCTCTTATAATTTTGTTGCTTTCTATATATCATGAGAAATGGGAAATAAAGAGCGTGCGCTCAAAGTCGCTGTTTAAAGATCTATAGCAAGCGTTCCGCACTTGTTTACTAATTGTGTTTGTGTTTGTTTTCATGGGTTGATGATCGATGATGTCACTCAATTAGAACTGAGATAACGACTTCGATCTTTGCATGCTCCTCTTAGGATTTTCATTTTCCTTTGTTGATGATCGATGATGTCACTTAATTAGAATTGAGATAACGACTTCGATCTTTGCATGCTCCCCTTAGGATTTTCATTTTCCTTTGTTGATGATCGATGATGTCACTCAATTAGGATTGAAATAACGACTTCAAACTTTGCATGTTCCCTTAGGGTCGCTTGGTCAAGGTAGCTTTCGAGCTAGACATTAGGATAGTTATCCATGCATGCTAACCTAGGGTATATATTTCCCTTTTCATCTTTGACATAGGGCCATCATTATATGATAACACTAGGTTAGAGATAGGTTAGTCTCTCTTAAGTGTTTTCTTTCCATTTTGCATAATTGCATTTAAAACTAAAACTTCTTGTTCTTAGTAAATGTATAAAACATGTTAACCATACAAAAATCCTTTTCATGGTAAATCCTTGAACCATGTCTGAGTTTGTAAGTTGTGGATTTGTTAAACAAAGTTCGTTGTTAATGAGAAATATCTTCATAACCCTTTTTGAATATATACATATATATATACATATATATATATATATATATATATATATATATATATATATATATATATATATATATATATATATATATATATATATATATATATATATATATATATATATATATATATATATATATATATATATATATATATATATATATATATATATATATATATATATATATATATATATATATATATATATATATATATATATATCTTAATATATGAAAATAAATATTTTGAATGCCTGAGGAAAAATGATTTTAATGCAATTAAAAAATATTTGAATGGGTTAGTGTTGCACCCCAAAATTTGCCCTCCTAATTTCTTTTATTCCGGCTTAGACTTTGCATTCATCTGCATCATTCCAATAGGTCATATGTATAGCATGCCTTTTCATAAAAATAGAGCACCTGAGGTTCAAAAGATCAGTAGTTATGAAGCTAAGGTTTACAGCTAATTGGAGGGGTATATGTTGATTATTCTGGTTCTTCTTGGTGTACAAGACTGTGGAATTAGGGTTTTGGTTCATGCTCATTTTTGGAATTCTTCTCCATCAAGCTACAAGGCTATTATCTTTTGATGAACAACTGGTTGCAGGTTTTTCTTGTCAAGAATTCAAGGGCGGGACCTAGCATACATAGTCTTTGAATCAAGACGTCTCCTCATATAAGTGTTATCATTTGATCAGGGTTAATGACTATGGCGTGGCATTCATCTATTCCCCAGTTAACCAATTCAGGTTTGGTTGAAACATGGTTTGAAGATGCTTTATCTGGACGTATTTCTCTGTGCATTTGAACTGAGGAATCAAGGTTGTGAGGTGTGGTTATCGGGATTTCTTTCTCTTCAGAATATAATTGTTTTTATCCAGTCTCGGCAAGTGCGGGGGTTTTCATTTGTGCGACTAGGATTTCATGTTAAGGGAATTCTTTCGTGATCCCAACCTTATCGTCTATCTGTAAAGATGTTCCTCATGATATTAATTTCGAGTTGAGATAACTGGTCGCTAAGGGGTGAGGATCGAATTGTGAAGCGTAATTCATGGTTTATGATATAAATCTGTGGACTTCTTCTTAACCAAGGCAATTATTGTTCTTATCATTGTCATTTGTTATCCGCAATACGAGTGGATTTGGATAGAAGTAGGCTTCTCATGGAAGGATCCATGCAAGGCGATTCAAAGTTCATTCATAATTTGATTTAGGATTTTTATTCAAATATTCAACACAAGTTCAACTCATTCATCTTCTATCACAGTTCATTTTATATGATAAATCAAGGAAAACTTGGAATTTAAATGCTAAGGGGAAGGAAAGATTCATTCAAAATCTATTCAAGTGGTTGCCTTGGTTATAATTTGTCAAATTGGATCAACCTTTCTTGAGATGCGAGTGTGTGGATTATTTGGAGTTTGAGTTTTGAAAGAAAAAACAAAAGTAATAGGCATAATGATCATTCATCATCCAATATTCATTGTTTGAAAGTCATCTTGATTTAAGTATCATTTTTAATTTCTCATCATAAGAATGTTACATCAAGGAAAATTTAAAATACATAAGTAACATTCAAATCCATCCAAGTTCTACTGTGTTAGGTCAAGAAATCCAAAGGTTATTCCCATGAATCATTACATCCATAAACTCCATTCAATTTCACTATTCAAATTCAAGACCATACAAATGTTCGTGTTTGCAAGAGCTTGGAATTCAAATGCAGATTGGAGGGAAAGTATTCATTCAAATATCATTACATTTTGGGATACTACAAGAGGAAGAAAACCTAAGTTGATCAAATTAAACTTCAAAACAGACCCAAGGCAAAAAGAAGGAAGATTTGCAACATGCCCAAGAAAGTTAGTTGTGGGGACTTGCTATTCTTGCTTCACAACTGGGTGAAAAGTTCTATGTTGATACTGTGAAGCAAATGGAACTTCGTCAACTGATTGCAGGGTCTCCCATGCGCATGTTATGCCTTCTAATTGCTGGACAACCAATTGAAGTTTTCTCATACCGCAGTTTAAATAGTCAGGACCCTATTTCTTTTAATATGCCTCGGCATCCCGCACAGCTTCAGTTTGGATCTAACAGCATGCTTAATGACTGGGAGGGGAATTTGGATGTAATAACTACGAGCTAGACCAAAAAACCTGCACAACAAATTAACATCACAGAAAATCAGAATTGAAGTAACCCATTACTTACACAAAGCAGTACACGCCAACTCACAGAGACCCAACATTTTTATCACGCATAGTATAAACGCAAAACAAGTTTAGATGTGAAACAATTTCAAGAGATTAACAAGCGCTAAGTTCGGTTCAGAAATGATTAAGTAGTGCAGAGATTTTATTTGCTTACATAAATGACAATATGGAAAAATCCAATTCGACTTCGCCTGCATATTCAAAGGAAAATCCAATTCTAAACAAAATCCATACTTGTTGCAGAGTTAGGATGGTTACCTATTACAAAATTCCAAACCCAATTTATTCATGTAACAGAAAAACAGAAATTCAGTTTTCATATAAAGGAAAATTTCAGAATAAATCAGGAAATTGTGGAAACAAAAATAACAGCTCAGCAAGCTTTCATCAGATCAATTGGAATCAATCTCGGCCTTACAAATCTCAGGAAGCTATCTGATTCAACCACTCAGATTTACCAATCTCTAACTAACAGAATTTCTGCAACTAACCTATAATTGTCAAAACCTAACAACTTACTAAACTAATAGAGCTTCCAAATTGTTTCCTAATTGTCAACCTAACCTATTTCCAACTAACTCTCAATCTCTTTCTAACAGAATTTAACAAACTTCTTCTAACTGCCGTAAAAAACTTCCAGGCGACGGTTTTCAAAACAGAATATAACAGGAAAACAGAAAGAGAGTTGGATTTTTGGGGGGATACATAACAGAGTTAAAAAAGAGGGGGATAGAATTATTCACGATAGATTATCAGAAACTCACAGAGAAAACTAACTTGGATTCAATTCATTCTTCAGCACCCTGAAGAATCACCAAGAAATATTCTTCCCCTGCTTCATGACCTTCATCAACCTTTATACCACCAATCTTCACTCTCTCTTCATTGATCAAACTGCATAAGAATCACAAAATCAGAAGAAACTCTCTCTTCACTCTCATCTTTCTTCATCAACCTTTCAACCTTCATCTTCAACTGCTTCAAGGATTCGTTATCGCTTCATATCTTCATCACTGTTAAATCCCTACAATAGCTTCAACCATCATCAATCTTCAAGAACTCACTCTCTAATCCATAACCGCACCATATATCTCTCCCTATCATCTCCAATTTCTGGTTTCTCAGCGGCAACATCTTATGTTTCATCGACAATGGTGTCATCACATCATTGCTTCTGCAACGCTCAAGAACGAGTAAAAAACAGTAACATTATCATCATCTTCTGGTTTCGTTTCGAAAATCACAACATTCACAGAGAGGAGGAAGCAGGCGGAGTAGAAAGATCAAAAGCAGAATAAGATATAGAAGGAGAAGACGACGGAGCGTGCATACCTGATTTGAGGATTCTCTAATTATCTCGTCATCATCGTCGTTGTTGAAAAGCCGTCGAAGCTACTCCGGCAGGTAAGCCTAGAATATCTGGTTTTCTTCATCTATTTTCGCAATTTCTGTGTACCATAATGTAGTCGATTGTTGCTTGAACACTTCCCCCAAGCTTTTGCACTGAAATCATTCTCTATCATCGTACAATTTCACTATGAAACCTCTAGGTTTTGGATGAATTTGGGAAAAATGAGGTGGAACCAACAAAAGGAAAAATGTTGTCGTGAGTCGTTCTAGGGAAGACGAAGAAAGTTGAGATCAGTGAAGGAAGGTGAATCAAGATTAAAGTTGCCGCGCCGTTGAAAGAGTGACGTAGGGAGCGAAGAAGAGACTCAGTGTGGTGAAGATTGAAAGTTCACAAAACCCTACTCTTGAGCAAAAGACGCCGTATGGTTTTTTTATTCATTGATGAAAACTGAATAGGCTTAGATTACTGATTGCACTTGGCCTGTTTCTGTTTTTTTTTTTTTAAGTCTGAAGAAGTGGAAGGAAAATGCTTAATGGATCTTATCGCCTTCTACTACTAGCCCATCACATCTCTTTCTGTTTGCTGCTAATAAGAGACTGAAGAAGAATAAAAACTAGATTGGATAAGAGTTTTGCTTTGGTCTGGATCTTACTCCCTCTAAGCCCGTGATGCGTTTTTTTGAAGCCTGGGTGGCTTTAAACAAAAATTGGCTAAGGGACATTACTACATGGGCCTAGCACCCAGATTCCTACTACACCCATGGATTCCATATTTCCACCCCTCTGATCATCCTTTTTAAAAAATTGATATTTTTCTTATAACTTTCTTTTTTATTTTTTTTCTTCCCTACTATTTTTTTTTTCTTTCACATGATAAAAAATATAACAAAATCAATAAAAATTTGTTAGATTTTTTATGTGATTTTAGGAATTAAATTCTGATTACCCGATTATATTTGAGATTAGTAAATTCACTTTTTCTTGTTGAGATTTGAGTCTTATGCAGGTTCATTGTGCGATATGCGGATATGCTCGAGATTTCAATTATGATTTATTTTCACATCGGTGATGCTTCTACATTTATCCCGGGCATTTAATTTCAGACTCTTTTCTTTGCTTGGTGGAGCTTACTCGAAGTTTTCCGGGTTTCTCCTTTCTTTTGCATGCATTCCATGTACAACTTAGATATAGATTCTTACACACCCTTTGATTAGAACAACAAAAGTGGATACCATAGAGTATTACGGGCGTGTGGGGTGCTAATACTTTCCCCTCGTATAACAGACTTCCTTACCCATATCTCTTGGTCGTTCAACCTTGATTTAACCCTTCTCAGGTTTACTTGATGTTTACCTTCCCCCTCTTGTGGGATAAAAAACATTCGATGGTGACTTCATTGATTTCATCAGTTGATTGTTCAGCCGGTTGTTTCAGTTGGCGACTTCACTGGGGACAGATTGACCTATTGCTGGTCCATCCCGGAGTCGATCCTAGATCTTGTTTTCTTCTCTTTGGGTGTTTATTTTTATGCTTTCAGTTTATTCATTTGTACATGTTTATCTAAGCATATGTTTGCATTACATCTTTATTGTTTTCCATATACTGCTGCTGTATTGGTTTTCGAGTTTCTTTGTTGGATGGGTGTTGCTATGAGGTAAAAGGCCCAATACCCAGGCCAAGTGACAAACAATATGAACACTAGGAATATAGTGGAACATGACGGATAAGGGATGTAGATTACCCTAGACGGTTGTGTCGTCCATGCTCAGATGAGGTTTTAATTAGTTGTTATCATTATCACGTAGGTGTACGATGATAGTACTCTCAAGCGAACCCGTGATTTTGAGTTACCATTGACTTTACCCAGACTTAGTCTTGACCCGTGAGTGGGGCGGGAATATGATCTTTACATGTACAGATGGTGACTATGTTCTGATGGTGACTATGTGGGTTTCAGATTTTTTTTTTGAGTTTCTGGATTCAGTATTCAGGATGGTTCTTTGGTTATGTTATGGACCTTTGATCCTGATATATTCATCTTGTCCAGAGATTATACAACGGTTATTCATGGTACCTGGTTCCGTTGTGTTCTGAAATTGGTATCGAATCTTTAATCCTGTGATATCCAGATTATTCAGTAGATTTATACAATAGTTATCCAGAGGATTGTACAGTTGTCATGCTGAACTTTTGAACCTATGGTATTGCACCTTGCATCATAGCATGTTTATTTTTACACAACAAAAATAAATGTGAAAGATTATATGCATAAAAAATATGTTTGAACATGGCATTGTATCCGCTCATTCACCTCATACATCTTCATGCATCCATAGCAGGTACTCAGAAGGTACTCAGGATGGGGAATCCTTATTCAGACTCGGTATTCTCTTGTAAGAACTATAAATCTTGACTTCTCACCGCTCTGTTATCTGAAAAATCCATTGAACGACTTCGTGGGGAATTGGATGAGATGATGAATTGAAAAATCAGATGGGACTGTTTATTATGGACATGCAGGTTTTGGCCTGTGGTCAAAAAATCCTTAAGGGGGAAGGATAACCAGTTGAAGACAGTGTCAGCAAAGGAAAGTGATCATATACACGATTTTGCAACAGAAGTTGTCATTTATCCCCAGTCTATAGGACATTTTTCAAATCGAGAGATACTTTGTGGATCTCACTCAGAACTCCATGTTCTTGGATCTTCTTGCTAAGCAACCAGTTCAGGTCCTCCAAGTGAACCCATGGGGCAAAGCTTATCAGCAAAGATAGAGAAAAGCTTGAGAAACAGGTTGATACAATTTCTATACCTTGTATCTAGTTACTTCCTAGTGTATTGGAAGCTCAGTTGATTAAGCTTCGTGATTTGGATCATCTTCCCACAAATTTCTCCCCTGATTTCGATGCAAATGTTGGACGTGTCTCCCATTTTAGGGCACGTGGTTATGATATTGAAGACTGCAAGGGGTTGAAGTATGAAGTCTGGCACTTTCCTGACTTCTTTTCCAAGGTTCACTCCATGTTTGGAAAACTGTTTCAGGCTCCTTTTCCTCAGCTAAATGCTTCTTCTATGTAAGTAGAAGATGGGGCATTGCTTATGTGATGAAGAAGCATAAGATATCGAGATCTTAGACATCTACTGCTATGTAGAAGGAAAATACCTCAAAGGTTGCATTCTACATTCAGAGTTTAGCTTCTTCTGTGTAGTAGAAGATTCTTTGTTACAATTTTTGAATTTTTCCCATGCGTAGTAGAAGACAGAGACTCTTTTGTGAAGTAGGAGATTCTCCGTAATTCGGTTGCTAAAACTTCTCTCTTGTGAAGTAGGAGATGAAGTTTACTTTCTTCTGTGTAGTAGAATATCCTTTGGTATGGATGATGGATGTTGCTTCTATGTAATAGAAGACGGTGCTTCTTTTGTGTAGTAGGAGACGCTCCGGAATTCAGCGGCTGGATTTCTCTTCTGTGTAGTAGAAGATGGTTGGAATTTATTCTTTGTGCTAGAAGATACTTTGTGTTGCAGTTTATACAAGTTCTCTTGATAAAGAAATTATCACATCTGTTGAAGGAAATCCAATGTGATTACCATGTTGGGGCACTTAGCCACTCAGCTGAAGGTTGTAAACCATTCGAAGATGAGATACAAGACCTGCTTGATGAAAAAGCCATCATTCTCACACCAGTTGATCAGATTTGAAGTCTCTTTTGACTCATTGAACGTCAAGACTGTCGGAGCATCGACTTAAGCAACAAGTCCATACGGAGACTAGTCTCCTCAACATGGAAAATTCAAATTACATCTGCATTCTCATTTGTGATCTTTCTTGTTTGGTTCAGTACTTTCTTGTACGCAAAGTTTGTTTATTCTTGAATATTAATCATAATGCATCGAATATGTTTGTCTTGAATTAATCCATTCGTATTCACTCATTACTGTTTTTCTTTGCTTTTTGATACTTAACTCTTGTTAAATAAAGCAAAATACCTCTGGAGGGAGAATAATGAGAAATATACCAAAATTTTCAAACGGTGTGCTTTTGAATAAAACCATGCTGACGGTGTACATGCCTTGTTTCAATTCCTAAACATCGGAGATATAAGGGAGATAGACCCTCGTCAACCCCTTTGAGCCTTGAATTAAGAGTTTCTTTTCTATTCAGAAAAACCCTCACATTTAACCCGGGGCAGGTTAGATTTCAATCGATCTGATTGAGCGTTCAAAACTCATTAGGAGTGCGCATCAAAGGATACAACAATGGTTATCCTCCAAGGATTTAGGAAGAACAAAACCGCAATGGATAACCCTCATATCAGCAGTGTGCATTAAAGAGAGCTATGTCCCAATGGGTATTTCTCGCAAAATAGGAGGACGAAAGATGACGGTACCACAATGGTTATCCCTCATCAACCAAGCGATAAGGCAGTCACTAAACTTCCAACAAGCCGAAAGTCTCAGGATCACATGATTTGTTCAAAATGATCGAAAATAAAAAAGGAAAGAGAAAAAAAGCCTCTCTAAGCCGAAACTTGAAAAAATAAGTCGTTTAGGCAAAAGTTAGGGCACCCCGCTGGACTTCGGAATCAAAATTCAAAAGGAATTTGTCCAGGAAAAATTTAGGGAATGCGAAGGAGCGCGAAAAGCGAAAAGGGGATTACCAAATGAAAATCCTCAGCAAAGAACAAAGTCATGTGATAAGACACCAAGAAAGAAAGAGGTGAGTGAATGCCATGTCCAAGAAACCTCAGTGACTCCTCAATCATTCCAAAACTCCTCTTGAGAGATGAATGTCCGTGTCAAGTTAACTGAATTTAGGACTGGAGAACATCATAAAGAGGGTGTGCACCAAATAATTTTGAGCCTTAAATCCTTTTTTCTAAAACCGTGAACCGAGCCACGTTATAACGCTTAAAAGTCCTAACTGAAGCATGGGTTAATTTGAAAATGCACTGTTGAAGAAGTGAAAAACACAAGAGGGGGGGGGGGTTGAATTGAAATCTTAAAATCAAAAGCAGTAGACACTATATTTTTATCCTGGTTCGTTTGAACTCAAACTACTCCAGTCCACCCGCCAAGGTGATTTCACCTCTCTCCAACGAGGACTTAATTCACTAATCAAACTTGATTACAATTCTACTTTAACAACTATTAAAGTCTTCTTGAGTCCAAAACC